GGCTTTGTGTGTCAGCCACAGCAGGTTTGGCGGCAGGCGGAGCACCTCAATGTCCCCAAACTCGGACTTGTTCCACTGCAGGCGGTAATCGGTCCAGCCCTGGAGGGCGCATTCCCTGGTCACCCTCTCACCTGGGTCACCCCGTTGCCCATGCCCCGGGGGCACAACTGACGCCGTGACACCTCTCCCTACTCACGTGCTCAAGCCACACGTTTGTAGTGAGCGTCTCGTCCACCTCTTTCTGCAACAACAGCGTGGGGCAGTCAGATACCAGGGCCATGCCAAGGACCCCCACACCCCAGCCAGGGTTTGGGGCAGCGGCCCCAGGGCTCCCCCACCCAGCCAACCCCGTGGGTGAAGCCTGGTTGGAGGGCACCCCACGGTGTGCACTGCCCGTGGGGGCTCACCAGTGAGATGAGGTTGGAGAGAGTGAGGGCCAGGTAGACGTCCACAACCTGGTCGGTGGAGACGACGGGGCGCACCTCCTTGTCATAGCCCTTCTCCTCAAAGAGGTGGTGGATGAGCCGCTCCTCCTGGTTCACACAGAGCCCGCCTGGGGGTGTGGGGGAAGGTGGGGCTGGGGCGCGTTAGTGGGCCCAGTGCCACCCCACAGGGATGCTCGCTGAGGGCAGGCTGGCATAAGGATGGAGGAGACAGGAGGCCAGGACACTGCGTGTCTGTGCCGCACTGGGGCATGGACATGGGACAAGTGAGAATGACACATGCGGGGGCACGCAGTCACACATGAGCACAGGACAAGGAGGTGGGCACAGACACGGAGGGACACACAGAAACAGACCCGGGACACAGCCGTGAGACATGGGCGCAGACGCGGTGTCACCGTGCACACAGGTGACGCACACGGACACATGGACATCGTCGCGGTGCAGGCAGTGGTCCTGGAGGCAGTGCCACTGTGCACACGGAGAGGCACACGCAGGGACACGCAGGCACAGTGGCACTGAGCACAGACAGAGGGACTCACAGCTGGCACACAGGGACACGGACAGGGCTGCAGCCCCAGTGTGCACAGACAGACAGACACACGGCCAGGCAGGGACCCCGCTCCGGGTGGCACAGCCGGGATGGAGGTGCAGGGGATGCTCACTGATGAGACTCTGCCACGCAATGCCCAAAATGCAGCCCTGGGGATGCCCAGCTTGGACCTTACCACCATCACCTCCCACCAACCCCATCGATGGGGACCAGAACCCCCCAGCAACAGGCCAACCCCAAGCCCAAGAAACACCCCCAAGCCCAAGACCCCGCTCACCCGACAGCACCAGTGCCCCGAGCAGGGCCAGACGCCCCGGCAGGTCCCCCATGCCGTGCCCGCCGTGCCAGGCCCTGGCTGCCTCCCCACCCGGCCTGGCCAAGCGGATGTCCGGCTGCTGGCTGGAGATGGATGGTGCCAGGTGCCGAGGGGGAAGGGTGCCGGCACCGGATAGCCACTCCCAACCCTCTCTTTCGGCACGTGGAGAAGGGGAGACGGGCAGGCACAGCTGGTCTCGCCGGCCCCC